GGTCACACTAAAATCAAGACACTTGCGGGACAAAAAGAAGGGTTGGTTGGTGGCGGGGAAAAAAAAGAAAAAGTCGACTATTCTTCCTCATCATCACTTGGACTCGATGCCGCCGCAATCTTTGAAGGGGTGAGAAGCGACGGCCGCCCACTTTGCTTCGTTTGAAAGGTCCAGCTCCTGGGTGTTGTCGATCTGGGTTTTGACCCGTTTCCACAACTTGGACGGGTACTTCTTTCCAACACCGTAGCGTTCGCAGATCGGGTCAAGCACGCCCTTGGGAATCCTTGACAACCCCGGCTGAATGCCCATCGCAATTTCTACCGCCATGGCATAGCGCCTACCAACCGATAATTCGGTGCCCCTTTTGCGAGGTGGTGTGCTGGGGGGCGATTCCATCGCTAGAGTAGGGTAGTAAAATGGATTTGAGAATTTTGTCGAGAATTCTCAAAAAATATCCCAAAATATTTTCTCAAAAAAATTCCCAAAACAGGCCAAAATAGGGTACATTTTGACCAATAGTAGATACAGAAATAGATGTTCGTTTTTTTTTATTTTTTTTTCCATCGCTTCTTCTTTGTTATATCTTTCTTACAAACCCGACTATGCTACCATCACTAACACGGTTGCACCCAGACAATCTATTGCATTTAGGTACCCTAACTTATGATACAGAGGAAGTAGTCGTGCATGCCGTAGTCGTTAGACCATTGACCTCGCACAAGCACGGGGGGGGGAACAAATCGTCTCTACCACGCTTGAGCAAGCACTCCGTGCAAAAAATCTAGTTGGCCCTATCGTATGAGCTCGGAGGGTTGCAAGGCCTCTTCCGCCAGCACCGGCAGTCGTTTCACTCAATCGTTTATGCTCCAATCGATGTTGATAGATTTCACACAAACAAAAAGGGGGGCTAGCTTGCTCTAGGTAATTATGGTCTGCAGCCACGTTTTTTTTGTTGTTCTCCTTCCTCGGGTGGTGGTTGGGCAACAGGTTACGACGGCGCTTCGGGGAGTACTTTGGAAGGACGATGTGGCGCTTGAGAAGAAAGCGAAGGCTCGCTTTTTTGTTCGGGAGCGTCAAGAAAATAGCAGACGAACTACACTGTGCGAGTGTGTAGGGTGGCGCACGCAAGGGGAGGGGGGAACCGCGAAATCGCAACTATCGCACGGTAGTGCTATACCAGCCTGATTGTTGTTCAGAGTCAGCACTCGGCACCGAGCTTGGTTTTGTTGTTGCGCAAGACTCTGTGGCGCGCACCAGACACGTCCGTTTTTTGCCCCTCCCATGGTTTGGTGATTTGATAAATTTTTTATCCTCCTGGACTCGAGAGGGTACAATAGACAGAATACTCGGTGGGGGGGTATCTGACATGCTATGTAGCGTTGCGAGCGTGTGTGCCTTGGACGAGATAACTGCCAACGGGAAATAGCTGTGAATGTCGGAGGAGAGGAGGGGGAATTCTCTCTCGCAACGTTCCTTTTCTCTGTCTGTGAAGAGATCTTGTCTAGAGCGGGTGCGTGGTTGCCTACGGCGGACGTTTGTTGTAAAAAATGAAAGGAGCGTGTAAGAAGAGAGCAAACTCACGAAAATACACCGCCGCTGTGCCGCTTGTGCCTAATCTGCGAACCGTCGATGGAGTTTAGGTGAGTGTGTTGCCGATGTTTCTTCGAGGATGGAAGGTGAATGAGTGCAGCAGCGGAGGATTATGCTGCAGCAGGGAGTTGTGTTGTGTCCACGAGCATGGCGTTGTTTTCGGGTGTGCTCTCTCTTCGTGAGGGATTAGAGGCTTCTCTCCGTCGCAAGACCAGGAACGTTGTAGATAAAACCTTGGTCGTTGCTGTGAGCATTCGCCAAAAACAGCCTTAGATATGCATCACGTATTATAGCGTGTGCATCCTTTCTTCAAGCTATATTTTCCATTCCATGTGTGTGCCGTGTGCAGAATAATAGTTCCAATTGCCGTGTTTGAAAACGGGAACGGCTTTCGGCCGTCCTTCATGTGCCAAAGAGTAAACTGACTGCCCGGAGCTTCACCAATTTCACCAATTTCACAGCGTTGTCGCGTACCGGTAATAGTAGTGTTCTCAGTCGCACCGCTGCCTAGCACAACCGCAAGGAAATGCCTAGCTAGACAAGGAGCGGCGTCGAACCGATCCGAGTTTACGGAGCTTTACCCTAGTACTGCTGTACCTAGTACAAGTACAGTGCAGTCGTCAGGGGTAAAATCGCCGTTGGTCATCTTTGATGCTTCCGGCATGCATGCATGTTCTTTCTCATGTAGTCTATACCTCGACATCGTACGTATCTGGAGTAACCCATAAAAGTAAGGTGGGGGTTGGCAACAGCGCCAGAAAATAATTCCGTGGTAAAACTCTCTGGTTTGAAACACACGCGTGCGTGTGGTTTGTTTCCGTTTTCGGCTGCATTGTGTACCTGAAACATTGCGCAGTCAGTTAAATACTGCCGTGTGTGCCTCGCGACCGTAAGGAGCGCCTATGTAGGCCACAGCAGTACGAGAAAATCGGACACTATCTATCGTCACTCTACCTCTACCTCTTCATATGCATATGACCTCCCACTCTTAAGTGCAAAAAGGTAGGCAGCAGAAGCGAAGTACGACCAGCAACTTACCCAACGACACGTCGCCACCATCACACTACAAGCGGACGCTCGACAACAACAGACAGCAGCACGAGGAATGCGCATCGACCTAACCGCTCGCTTCCGACGATGTGATCATCAATCGATTCATCAAGCGCGTCGAACGCCCCGACGTGAGACTGGCCGCAATCATAAGCATTTCCTGCGGAGCAGTTTTGTTTGGAGCCCCCTCCCTCACTTGCCGCGATGCGGGGTTGCGGCCAAACCCTAACGCTGCGGCTGCTGTTATCTATGCTACTTCTTTCGCGGACACTCCAACCCGTCCCCTCACGGGCAGATAGATGCAACACTGCACATGAGGCTAAATCGCAGAGGTAGAATATAGGGTAGCGTTTCTTGCCTCATCTCAAGAAGGAGCGCTTTCGTCGTGTTGTATTGTACACATGCCTGCCCACCAAAGCTATTGATTAGCCAGCGAGCGGACGCTCCTACTTGTGCGTGCCCTTGTTGCTGATTGGACCGAGGCAGCAGGGGGGGGCACAAACAAACATAGTCTACACACGGAGACCACACAGCACACAACGACACCAAATAGTCTAGACTACACGTTTTTTACAACATCAACACCCCGCAACGAAAGCATGCAACACGCGACAAAAGGCAACCGAACAATGTGCTTTTGTTCTTTTTGTCCACAGCCAAGCCGCCACTGCCCATCTGCACTACTTGCGGCTCAAAGAGCATGGCAGCCGCCCCCCATCCACAGCATTAACTAAGACCTATCTCATCTCATCTGTTGATGTGTACCCTTTCCCGACGTTTTTTTTTTTCTCCATTACAATAGCGTAGTAGACGATCGTTTTGTGCGTGTTTGGGGGGGGGGGCACCGAGTGCTGCGGGTCTGTCACCGTTATGCGTGCATGATACGAACGTTTCAGAACTCGCGACATACGCTGTGCACGTCCTACTGCCGAAGACATGGTAGCACATCAGATGACCTTCGGTACTACTTACAGTAGGATCGTCTTTTTCCAGCGATCACTGATACTTTTATTGCAAAGTGCCTCGTAACCTATGGAAGTATCACACTTGCCGCACTTGTTGGTCACCACGCGGAGCTCTCCACCGTTCACACGTTACCCCCGCTCGGAGCCAACCCTAGCAATCGAATATCCCTGCCTTATTCCCTATGCCTTAGTCAATACCGAGGACAGTATGTCTAGGGACGCGTCTATCTGGTCCGCAGTGATGCAGAGAGGAGGGGCCAGTCGAATGATGTTGCCTACCACGACAAGAAAGTGACAACAAGAGAGAGAGGGGGGGAGAGAGAGATAAGAGACAGGGATATATATAGACAAACAGACAGAAATAAGAGAGAGAGAGAGAGAGAGAGAGAGAGAGCGAGAGAGCGAGAGTCAGGCATGGAAGGAGACACGACATCAAGGGCGAGGATAAAACGTGTCGTCGCCCTTCGAAAGTGTCTGTCTCGTCTCGTCGAAAGGCAGTCTGTGGTGCACGAAGCAGCAGCGGTATTACCTTGTTCAACTCGGGATATTCTTCAACCAAGTGTCACACTTATCAACAACAACACAATCGGCCATTCTTCGGGCACACAGCACATGCCAGGTTTCCCCCGCCCCACTCCGCATAAACACCCGCCTTCGGCTGTGCCACAACATGAGAAAGAAAGGTAATTACCCATCATGCGTTCACACAAGATGGGCCAGAAAGTGACTACTACGGCAGGCAACAGACGATATACGTGTAGTCTACCCCCCCCCCGTCGCGCGCCCTCCTTTTCCTCGTCAACCTCTCCCTCTCAGCATCTAGGGGGGCACTCAAGATGCTGTTGAGTGCGCCCCCAGGC